TTTATCGACTAGAAGAAGAGAAGAAGAAGAAAAAGAAGAAGAAATAATCAAGAGTCTCTTCTCGAAAAAAAAAAAAGTTTCTGATTAATAGAATTCATATGTACATCTTATAAAAACTTCAACAGAAGAAACAAACAAACAAGAAATATTACTTAAAATAAATACTATTTGGCTTTAAGAAAGATTTTTATCTTTTCACTAGTTCGAAATAATCTTATTTATTTCCGGGAAATTAATTCTCATGAATATACAATGTTTATCTATTAGTAGACTAATTATGTCTTACTGATAAGTCAATTTTTCTAGTATGATTCGTTTTAGATAAAACCAATTGAATATTCGAATTCTAAGAAGAGAAAAAAAACTCGTTCGTCTTTCTAGAGCTCAAATGATTATCGCTCTAAGTAGTATTTCTTATGGTATTCAAAAGTTTTATGAATGAAATCTTTGAATACTTATCTATCAGTAATAAAAAAAAATTATAATTCTATTTGATTTACATAGAAAAGAGATATAGAAAATTTTTATGTATAGTCTATCGTCTCATATGAAATTCTAAAGAGAACAATAGTTTTAAAGAAATAATTTTTTTCATTGAGAATTGATCTTAGGTATTATGAGAAAAATACAATAAAAAAAAGGAAATAATTTCATGAAATTCTATCTTTGATCTTTGTTTTATGAAAATAATATTATACTACTTTTATTTCATTATTAATGACAAAAAACAAAAGCAGTTTTTGAAGAGACATAAAATATTATATATACGATTAAAAGCAATGAAAGACAAATCAATTTTCTCATGGGAATTTCATACATATATTTGTTAATATGTAAATGTTTATTATTCAAAAGAAAAATCAACGATTTTTATTAAAAGCTTGTCTAATAAGTCGTTCTCTATCCTAACATAAAATTCTAGTCTTATTCATCTATTTATCTTATTCGCATGTATTTTGCCTAATTCAATTCAAGCTTTTATATTGGATCGATTTTCATAAGAGATGATGATGGCCGAAGAAATGTCATTTTTAATAATGATAACAGTGACTAACATGATGTGTGAATCATTTTGGCATACTGATGATGCTCAACTAGAATTCAATGAAAATAGATTAGATATAGAGAAATCACTTTCACCCAAAATCTGGACGGAAAATTGATGGTTTACGTCCCTCGATGCTACTTTTTTTTTTTGAATACTCGCACTAATATTTTTTATAGAAACACATAATTATCATGAATTCACACATAAAAAAAAGAATTCCTCAATGAAGAAACACATGCACACATATAATTGTTAATCATTAATAAAAAAGAATTTTGACAAAGTGTAATCATTCATTAGCTTGACAGTTGTTTCTCATGTTTATGATATAGAAGTGTTGCATGACTTAAATTATTCTACATACACTTAAGTCATTTATTTCATGTTGATCATCATCTTTTTTTTTTTCTTTCTTATCATTATTAATATATCTATATAAAATCTTACATTTTTTTTTGTTATTGTTCGTATTTCAATAATTTATATGTCATAATGAGGAAGAAAAAAAAGATGCATGTTGTTGTTATTTAATTTATACACTTGAATAAATCTAAGAATAGGGAAATAGAACTATACGATGTAATAAAATAATCATCAAAATGCAGAAGGAATAGAATATTAATCCATGATTATGTTCAAGATTTCTTATATTAAATAAACGTGTAACATGAATTACTCAATGAAATTTAGATAAAAGAATTTTCTTAGACATACAAAATGATAAATACAAAATGTCTATTAATTTTTGAATAATAATCTTCGTATTGATAAAAAATCTAATGAATATGCATCCAAGCTTTCTAGATGTATGCAACATGCGGAGAAAGAATCATAAACATTTTCATCGCTAACAATAATAGTGATGAATTATTTAGTATTTTCTTTTGAATACTAATGATATAATGAGTAGTGTCCGTGTTTTGTATATCAAATAAAAGAACACATTGCTTCTTATCAACTTAATTCCATTTTGAAGGTTTTACATAGCTGATTGTTGTCCTTCTTTAATTACTCTTTGGTTTCATATGATAAAAATAGATTACTATGCACAAGTACATCAAAGTACTCCTTTTGTGAACAAAATAATTTTTAATCATTGTAAAATATCGAATACAATATATGAAGCTTTCTGTATTCGCTACACATGAAAAAGAGTCTACATTCTGAAAGTCTCGCATCTCGAAGAAACTTTGTTCAACACTTGTACATTTTTGTAAACAATCTAGTCTATTTGAGTTTTCCATATGCACAAAGTTTCAGATCAAAATTCGATAGCTCAGTCAAGTATCAATAGGAGTCGAAACTCTTTAGGGTTTTTATTAGAACACTATGTAGTATCTGTAGATAAAAAAATTATTGAAATCGAAAGGATTCTTCTGAAGAGTTTTTCATACACCTTTTCACGTCAAAAAAACATTGTAAAAGCAAAAATAGAAATGGTACATATTATCCAGAATAAAGACAAAAGAAATTTAAATATATTTACGGTAGTATACCACATAATCGAAAGATTAGTATATGCTATGATTTTTCTTCGCTCAAATAAAATTCGACAAAATTTATGTGTATTTTTTTTTGATCGATTAACTTTCTATAACGATTAGTGGATTTTATATTGATTGGACAATACTATTCATGATGTTTCTTTTTTAGAAATTTTGATTATATCCACCTCAACATGCTATTCAATTACTATGTTTAGCAACACTCGATTAATATGCAACTATTCTTATTGGTAATAATGAATAAATATGAAGTCTGCATATGTTATATGAAAACAAAATTTATTATATTATTATAATTAAATAAACTATATCAAAGAGTAAACATTTATTTAAATCATATTAGTTTATTAGATTTTCATTTATTTGTATGATCGTGTTTTACTTCGATTTTTACCACATAGCCCTATTTAATGAATGTCTTGTTGACCTGGTTCAATAAATATTCATTTATGTATAATCTTTGAAATTTTGCTGTAAGTATAAATAAATATTGATAACTATATAAATTGAATACATTTCATGTTTATATATATGGATATCAGAAAGATTTCATCGACAGTGAAATTTTGATTTTGTTGTTTTTATATACATCGTCAACAATAAAGCTTATTAATGAACAAAAAGTCTCTAGTATCCAAACATTATGAAATCGTCGCTTATATGTTGTATACTATATAATGAGGAAAAGAAGCAAGCCACTATGAAAGTCAATCGAGAGAAACGTCAACTATATAATTATCATTACTAAAAAACGATTTGAAAATCATGTGATTAGTTCGTTTGGTCGTTTTTCAGACATTTTCTCTGCTAATCAAAATCCAATTGCGAGTTTGGATTCTAGGATAGGCTTAACATTTTCATCTAGAAGTTAAAAATGGGAGAAGATAAATTTTTGAATGCGATTCAAATAGAATACAAGTCGTATCTCTTTTGTCGAACTCACATTGTGTAACATGCAGCATTGATGCAGATCAGAAAAACATTTGCAACCTGCGTAAAAAAACGTGCATTTAAGGAAACACGTGAGTGTTTATGTTTATCAATATGAAACCTTCGAAACAAGATAATCTGATCTGCTTTCCTGGAAAAAAGTTTACTGACGAAACAGAAATGTTTAGTAAGCATGTAATCTTAGTTGCCCAAGGAAAATTTTGACAGATTCTAGTTAATCTATCTCAAATTTTTCGAACAGTTTTTCTTCACTTGTAATCTGGCCTCGGATTACTATTTAGTTTTTGAAAATATAGGAATACATATATGACTTAGTTTTCTAAAATAAAGGATTGTTTCTGCATTGTTTCTACTTCAAAAGTCGATTTTTCTAATTTCACTGTTTGATACATCCTCTTAATTGAGTTAGCATGAATAGCTGAAGCCTTTTCAGGATATCGATCTTATTTAATTCTGTCAAAATATATAATTCATTCAAGTATCGTTATAAAATTCAATTAGAATATTCTTTATTCAGGAATCAGAGTGTAAAAAAGCAGATAATAAAGTTTGAAAAAATAAATAAAATGAGAATTTGATTATAAGAAGTTTTCCACAAGTTTGAAGTTATATTAAAGTTTATCTTTTTTGTTTTCAATAAAAGTAAACTTGTTGGAGCTTTGACAAGTTAACATACCTGTCTGATGGTAGATATCCAAAGTGTTTAATGTCTATAGCTTTTCCAAGTTATGAGAAATCGTATCAACACTACCGTATAGTATTTTTTCGATTTTTCTAATGATCTTGATTATGTTCTATAGAGCAATATAACTTTCGAAATAAAAAGGAAGTTATGTGTATTTATCGATGTTTGTTAAATTTGATTAGCATTCTGACCGAGTACTAATTTTAATCATGTTGGTATTTTCTCTGTCGCTTATACGTATAAAGAAACACTGAATTCATTCTACTGTTTTGTATTTCATAGCATTCAGAGCCATTCACATACTTTATTTATGATTCTGATCATCGTGAAAAATAACATATCGTCGATCACTTAACTGTGAAGACGCTTTTTTTTTATCACAAGATTAGGAATGAATTTTACATTTTTGTTACCCGTAAAATACATTGTCTTACGACAATCGCTCATTCATAAAGATTGAATTGTTTTATAAATTTATTAATTCAAGTAAATGAAGAACAAAACACAATATATAACGGTGTTCTTTCAATTTCTCATCTATTGAAAAAGATTTTGGACTTGAAAGTCCGTCATAAGTTACTACCAAGTAAACATGATCAGGCTTGCCGATTGGGGGGGGGGGGGGATTTCCCCTCCCTAAAATGCTAGACTGTCTGCCAAAATTTTTAACAGTTTCTGCGAAAAATATTTACTATTGTCTGCGAAATTTTGATAACTTTTGAAGGAATAACGATTTTCTGCCGAAATTTCATCCCCCCGCACTCCTGAAAACAATCGACAACCCTGATCACAACCTTTATCTATTGAATCAATGGATTTTCAAAGTAAAAATTTCTCATTTGTTTTTCTTTTAACAAATTATATTTAGATGCTGGTAATGATAATAATCAAAATCAATTATCATAACATCATTCTCAAACAAATGCAAATTTAGCTTTAATGTTAGTTCGATTTTTTAAATTGTTTAGGAAGATCAGCTGTTGGAATCGTTTATTATGTTGATTATACAATTAAAAATGAACTTTTACGTCGTAGAGAAGCTAAACAATTATTATCAGATAATAAAAAATTACAACAAAAAACAAAAAAATCAAATAAAAAACGAACAAAACGTAAAACATCAGATGAAGATGATGAAAATCAATCAACATCAATTAATGATACAACTAATAATTCATTAAATCTTACTGTAAAATTTAAATATTTTAAATAAAAGTTTTTTTTTTAATTTTATCTTATTTATTTAGTTAAATTCAACGACTAAACAAACAATTGATGATGAGCAAAAGGATGAAATATGTCAAGTATTTGGTGGTACTGAAGTGGAAGATCCAGTTGATAATGAAATTAATTTATATATTCAATCATTATGTGAAAAAGATTCGTGATTAATGCAATATAAAAATATTCTTGAACAAGTAAACAATCTCAAACTATTATTTCACATAACTAATCATCCTTTAACAGCGTTTACATACAAATGTATCGCTAAAAAACAGAAAATATCTCTTATAATTTCACTATTGATTGAGCTCTGTCAAGCAATTTTTTTCTTATGAGAAGTTACATTATCAAGCTAACAAACTTCAAAAGTATTGTTTTGCCTTTGATCGAAACACAAAAAATTTAATCTTTTTCCAATATCCAAAAATTATCATACAATAATATTTTGATAATGACTTCGATTTCTTGTGTTATCGTTTGATAAATATTGATTTTGATGTATCATCACAGAAAGACATAGACTGATGATATAGCCTTCAGATCAGCTGATTTGACAGTATTACTCTGCTTTTTGTAATGATATGTCCAAATAAATGTTTATAACAAGATATGGATAATTTAAGAATCACAAAAATTCAAGTCATTAATAAAAACAAACACTGCATTATGTTTTTAGAGTTAAGAAAAAAAAGAAAATTCCTGTACTTACGATGGAACATACCCAACTGTCGGACGCTGTTTGCCCCATATTTTGGGTACAAACAGAGCTCGGCGAGACTAAGAAAAGCCTAAAAGAATTCGGGCCTTTGGCGTACCTGGACGGAGATCTGACTATCTCAAGGGTCAAAAAAATGGACTTTTCACTGTTTTTTTCAACTTTTCTTGGTTCTTTATGTGGTTGCGATCTGTAACTTTTAACATTGAGCTTCCATTTAATACTCAATTGTGAATTCTTTTCACTGGCAAGAGTTGATTAATGATGAGAAATGTCCTTTCATTTCATGTTTTTAATGACTATGTGTCTTATATTGGATCTCATTTTCGATAAGTATCGTTTTCATTAACTCATTTTTTTCTGTTTGTGTATATGTGCACAAAAAAAACTGAGGATTCATATTGTTTTACATTACATTATGGCCTCGATTTAATAATATCTTTGTTTTGATCGATCGTTTGAGAGGAAACGATTCGAGATCGTTGTGTTAAATGAAAACTCTATGCTAAAAATTATAGATCGCAACCACACAAAAGAACCGAAGAGATTGAAAAAAAACAGTGAAAAAGTCCATTTTTTCGTCCCTTGAGATAATTAGATCTCCGTCCAGGTACGCCATAGGCCCGAATTCTTTTAGGCTTTTCTTAGTCTCACGGCGTCCTGCTTGTACTCAAATATGAGATCAAACGGCGACCGATAGTTGAGGATGTTCCCTCGTTAGATCAAAGATGGTAGCTCAGAAGAGTTCAAGAAATAGAAGAGCTACCAGTAGATTACGTCGGGTCTGAAATTTTGGTCTCGATCTCGGATCCAAACTCGATCCGTACCCTAAATACTCACAATGGAATTTTTTAATCTAACCGGATAGTCGCGTCCGAAGGGACGAGATGCTTTTTTCTATGATTTGTATTCGGTGACTAGCACATACTACGCATTTCTCAGGCAATCTAAGAGGTGATCACATAAGAGGGTGTGGGTGTGAGTATGGGTGGGTGTGTGGGTGTGGATGCGGATGTTGGTCTTCTCTTTCACTAACACGCAAACCCACAGTGACACTCACACCACACATCCACACCCATACCCACCCTCACCCACACCTCACACCCACCCACACCCGCACCCACACAGCCACACCCTATGTACCAAATCTCGGAAGTGTTTTTCTGAGATTTAACAAATATGATACTGCAATATCAAGTAGAGCGACTAAAAATGTTTCTAACTTACAACTGACACAAAGATTTGATCTTATTTGGGCGCTTTATTACTGAAAATCTACAATCTTTATGTATAAGTACAGGATTTGTCGCATCCCGAAAATTGATTGTATCCGTAAATACGCAACTTAATTTATCAATTCATTCTTACGCTTGCATAAGTTTTTCAATTAAATCTAAACCAAAAAAGTTATATTTTTTTTAAATTTATTTTTACACTTGGATTATGTGTTGGATCGCATCTAAATAAAAAAACATTTATTTTTAATAAATTTATACTTACATTCGAATTGTGTTGGATCACATCTAAATGAAAAAGCAATTTATTTTTTTCAAAAATTTATACTTGCATTTCAGTTCAGTGATGGCCGATATCTAAATGAAAAAAATAATGTAGTTTTTAATAAATATATACTAACACTAGGATTATGTATTAGATCACATCTAAATCAAAAACAAAATTGAATTTTTTTATGAATTTTTACTTGCATTTCAGTTCGCTGTTGGGCGACATCTAAATATAAAAAATAATTTTATATTTTCATAAAAAATTGTAATTTCATTTCATCTAAGTTTTGTACCACATTTACGTGAAAGAAATATTTTTATTATTTTTTTAATCAACACTTACATTTCAGTTCAATGATGGTACATATCTAAATGAAAAAAATTATTTTATTTTTTCATAAATTTATACTTAGACTTGGTTTAGGTGTTGTATTACATCTAAATAAAAAAACAAGTTCCTGCATCTTTTTTGCGTGCCGAATAGTCATGTATGTTAATTCAAAAGCTATGCGTATATAGAAAGAAATCTGATAAATCTTCTGAATGCTAACCAAAAAGCTTTCGCTTTGGGGATACGGTTTGCATTAATTCTTTTTGAATAAAGAAAGATTTTATTTTTTATTTTTCATCAACGTTAAATCAGAAAGTCAAAAGTCTTATTTTAACTGCTTCTGTCTTGCACTTTTCATCAATTACACTTGGTAAAAATAACTAAACAACACCGCCGGTTAAACTCGTTTGACCGCCGGCTCGGATTTTGACCGTTGGTTAACCGTAGTTAACCGTCGGTTTTTGAAAAAAAAGACGACATGGGTTTTTTTGTCATCATTCTTCGTCTACTCTCCATTATGCGTATTTTACTGTTGTCATGAACACTCCTTCTCAAGTGCGTAGTTGACAACAATTTTAAAAACGAAAAAAAGGAGGCAGAAAGAAAAAATATAAGAAATGTACAGTGTTGCTATGATCCTACGCAAGTAACAAAAAAATTCATTCGACAAACAAACGAACCGTCTCGCATACACAACACAAGAAAGTTGGAAATTATCGTCACTGACATTGTGTTGGACAATTTTGTTTTGGATTATTGCATCCTGGTAAGTAACTTATTATAACGATTCTTATATAGATCTTCGAGTTTAATAAATATCATAAACATAACGGACGGATGACTGGAATATTAATTAAAAAAAAAGACAGAAATGAAACCGGGGTGTGGGTGTGGGGTGAGCGTGTGAGTATTCTTTCCTTTGAAACAAGCACCCACACCCCACTCGTAAAAGGAAAGCTAAATATCTTTCTACCGCAAAACTTGCAAATGAGGATATAGTCAAGCAGTGTCTTGTCACGCATCAACACAAATAGATACGAGCAAAAGAAATTCAGCCGCTAATCAATAAGCGAAAGAGGACTTGAGAAATTCTTGCCCATTGAGAATCCGTAAGAGTTTACATCAATCCTATCCAATTCAAACTCAAAGCACGACAATGATCAGGACCCCTATTGAGCATCGACACGATGATTATGTAGTGCGAATGGGTGCGGATTTCGGTATGGCTTCACAAAAGAGCTTCACCCAATCATCCGCACCTACATACCCACAATCACACCCAGTCATTCACGTTCACACACCCAATATCCACACTTAAATCCACATTTAATCAGCCACCAACCAGAGTTGGAACCGGACCGGCCGGTCCGGGCCGGTAGAGGACTCCTTACCGGCCGCTACACCGGCCGAAAGAAAAAAAATTTCTTTACCGACCGGTCTAGATTTTGTTGAGTTTTTTCATCTTTGTTTCAAAAAAATGACCATGTAAGTGTTTTTTTCTGTAAATCAGGCACTTTTTACTAAGGTCGAAAGCTATTTCTGTTAACGAACATGCATCAAAATACTCTGTAAAGTCCAAATTTATCGTAGTATACTTTATCTATTTTATCAGCTCACTTTGATATCATGTCATGTTCTCGAAAATATGTTAAATAATGATTTAGCTTTGTGGTTTACCATAGATTCATTCCTATTTCTTTACTATTGGTCGCATATATTTAAGCAGAGCAAATGAATAATTAGAAGAGTACAATGAGTATGCAATTTGTGTTTACTAACAACGGAAGGTTGGGGACTGTTGAGCGAAAAGATTGACCATATTCGGGTCAAAAGGAAGCCTTCAATGAGAAACTAACAAATTTAAAATATGGCGTGCCCATAGCTTGCCTGGACCGAGATATTCGAATTTCAAGGTATGTGAAATTTCGGTATAAAAATAAGTCAGAAAAGATTTTCTCCACTATTGTAAGGACAAAACATAGTGTTGTTCGGGCCGATTATGGGGTTTGTAGGGATCCTCTTTCATATGACACGAACAACACCATGTTTTGTCCTTATAATAGTAGAGTGGATTTTTTGGTGGTTGACAGAAAACGCCGTTTTCTATGAGCTACAGAAAAAATTCACTCTACTATTATAAGGACAAAACATGGTGTTGCTCGTGCTATATGAAAGAGGAGCCCTACAAACTCCATAATCGGCCCGAACAACACTATGTTTTGTCCTTACAATAGTGGAGAAAATCTTTTCTGACTTATTTTTATACCGAAATTTCACATATCTTGAAATTCGAATATCTCGATCCAGGCAAGATATGGGCTCGTTATATTTTAAATTTGTTAGTTTCTCATTGAAGGCTTTCTTTTGATCCGAATATGGTCAATCTTTTCGCTCAACAGTTCCCAACCTTCCATTGCAAGTGAATATTGAGTCTCTGTTTAACTTATTTGTGAAGGGGCTATATTGAACAATATAAAAAACATATGTTCTAGAATTCATTCTAGCGATATCATTGAGTAACACATAAGAAGAATAACAATAAATAAGTTTCGCAGTGTCATTTGAATGGTTGATAGAAAATGTTCAATTGTACAATGACTATTGTATGTGCCAATAATTAATGCATATCTTATCCTTATTCTCTATGATAGTGATCAACGATACCAGATTTTAGCATTTTGGAAAAATAATGAAAGATGATTACCAGTTTTATCGATAATTGCTAAACGTATTTTGGTTATACAAGCTTCATCAGCTGAATCAGAAAGACATTTTTCAGCCGGTGGAGTTATTGTTAATGAGAAAAGAGGTCGCTTGAGCGAGAGCTCAGTGGAATCATTAATTGCATTACGTGAAGCATATGTAAATAAAACGTGGCCTAAATTTAATACTAGTGCTGCGCTTGTAAATCGCGATGATCAAGAACAACAGCCATAATCTATTACGAATATGGTTGATTGAGAAAATGTTACCTTGTTTTATATTTTTTTTGTGTTACTTGAAAATTTAGTTTTTTTTGTTGATGGAAAGAAAAAAATGACGGAAATAAATGGAAAAGATGTGATTTAGCAATAAAAACATAATAATTGACCCTATCCTAGAGTAATTATGAAAAAAAGAACATGAATGGATCGGATGCTTTGATATATATTGAATGACAAGCTGGTAAAAACATTGTGCGGGTCTACCGACCGGTCCGGTCCGGTCTGACCCTTTAGACCGGTACCGGTAAGGAAAAAACCCTACAGGTTTCGTCTCTGCCACCAACCTCATCCATGCCCACATACATACCCAAACTTAAGCAGTCATTCTATTCTTCACACCCATACCCGCACCCACATACCCCATACTAGGGGTCTGAAGTTATTGTTATCTTAAAAATAACTCTGGCTAGCATTTTATGACTTGTGAATGTAATGAAATATATTATATACCAACAGAAAGAGGGCAAAATTCTGAGCAGTAGGAGACAGTTAAATATCAATTATATAAAGTTTATGATAAATGCTAGAGAGAGTTATTTTCAGAATAACAATAACATCTCACCCCTACCCCACTCACACCCGCACCCACACATCCACACCCACTCACACCTCACCCACACCCACACCCATACTACACCCACACACCCCACCATCACACCCACACCCACACACCCATACCCACACCCACACCCACACTCTCACACGCACCCACACCCCACACCCTCACACACACTCACACCCACATTCGTCTCAGAACTTTCGAAACTTTCCAATGTTGCCTGTCTTTTTACAGTAGTTGCATAAGACTAATGTAGATATCTGACAAATTAGGCTGTGCATGAAGTTAACTCAACAATGTATTTTGAATTGGGTTCATCAATTGCATATTACATTTCTTTAGTACTCTAGATATTTCTAATGGAGCTCTTGAAAATTTGTCTTTATTTTTCTAGGCTGCTGGTATGACTGACACAATGAACACTGAAGCAACCACAAAGCAAGTTGATGCAACCATAGAGAAATGTGAAGTAACCACAGAGAAAATTGAAGTATCCAAAGAGGACATTGAAAGACTTGAAGGAAAACTTGAAGCAGCCTCTGAGAAAGTCGAGAAAGTCGAATCGGAAGTAGCAGTAGTCACAGAGAAAGTTGAGACAGCCGAATCAATAGTTGCAGTAAGTACAGAAAAAGTTGAAGCAACCTCGGCTGACGTTAGGACAGTCACAAAAGCAGCTGATACTGTCGTAACAAAAGCTCCATCCTCACAACAATGCAGCAGCAGGTACGTCTCATAATTTCTCCTCTATGATGATTTACCTCTTACCACCTGTTTCTAGTCCTACGAAATCGAATGAAACATCAAGCGCCATCGGTAAGACTCAAAAATATTGACGTTCTAAACTGTTCTTGTTGAATTTAATTTTTTGTATACACACAAGTATTGATGCTTTTTGCCCCTGTCGAGAACCTAGATAGACGATGAGTATACTTGATAATTAAATACTTCCTCTCGTAGATAGATGTTATATAGTACTTGGTGTAGCTGTGTTGCCAGTGCCGCATTAGTTCACCTCACTACAAGACTTTCCCTTTGAATTTCTCGTCAATTAGTTTCGGCATACGCATACTATTGAACCTGCTTTTTTGTTACCATATATTTCATTTTGTTTGCACTAATGGACAGATCTGTCTACATCTAAATCTCAATCACGGTTCTTTGAAAATACTATGCCAGAATGAAACATATAACGTACATATTGATTATTGACACGAGAGATAATAAGGAGCAATCAGAAATGGCATCAATCGCTAGATAGAAGGAAAGTAAATGTATTACAGAACGGATACTCAAACTAAATGAAAAACAGTTATCTAAATCGATCATTCGAGTTTTAATATAGTTGAGAATTAGATTCTCAGTATAGACAGGTGGTAAGAGGTAAATCATCATAGAGGGGAGATTATGAGAGGTACCTGCTGCTGCATTNGTAATTACTATTTTTACGTGCTCTAAACTTTCCATCTATCAGAAACCATGGTGGATAGTAATATTCCCGTCTTTCACATTCAGATGGATATACTTTATCATAGATCACTTCACCATTAGCAAGATAACCTGTCCACCATCCAAATGTTCCACCAGTTATGATTGAATGTTCACAAAGTGAAAGTGTTATTAAATCATCACCCATGGAAAATGATGATGGCGTAATATAAATATTCGATCGATGGCGAAATAATCTTTTACAATAAAATTTATCATCACTTGCAACAATAAAATGAACATTTGAATAATGTAAAGTGTAATAATCAATAGCAGCATATAAATATTCATCGCTTGAAGAATAATTTAAGATAATAAAATTATCACGACTTACATGAATTCCAATCTATGTTGCTCAGTTCGATTGGACTAATTGCTTTTTGAATGATCGATGATTTTCTAATGAAATTTGAGGTTTGACATCAAATTTTTGTTCATAAATATCAATAAATAATTTCGAGACTTTCTCAAGTACAGATCGTTTTGCAACAAATATACGTTGCCGAATTTCATCACTATATTTATCAAAATGAAGATATGATTGTCAATAACCTTTTAATTCAAAGATGTATCCTGGTGCAATTGCATTGGAGCATGTTAATTCGGAGACATATAGACAAATAATACTCTTAGTTATTTGAGTCTTTGATTTTGAAGTATTGTGAATGATTGAATTGAACATGGGCGTTGAAATAAGAAAGGGAGATAGATCTAGAATAAATGTTGCATTCATTGGATCAGTAATTTGTGGTTTTAAATACAAATGACAAGAATGAAGATGAGCCAGACCAAAAGCATTCGCCATTCTGATAGAAGATCGGAGCCGTCTATAAATAATGATTTTCACATAAGCGAAACGTGTACATGAAAACATGCGCGAAAATATTTTTTGTTTTCTTAAGGAATTTTTCCGTGTCAATACGCGTTTCTGCCTTTGAACGCGATAAAACTCGGAAAATTTGTCGTGTAATTCGGCAGAAATGCGTAAGTCTGGAAAAACTTTGCGTATTTCAAGTTATTCAGGTTTGTCTTACGTAATTAAACGTTTTAAAAAGATCCGTTAAAAAGCCGTGTTAACAAAATTGTAACGTGCTTTTTTTGGCAGTTTTGTTTATCGGCATGATCTTACTTAGGATATACTAAAAGTGGTAATTTATGCAAATAAAATAACCACAAAATAGAATCAATTAAACTTTTCGTCCAGCAAATTTGTGAGCTATTTACCATGCTCACGTGCACATAATTAGTGTGTTTGAAAGACATCTAATGAAAAGTATTTTTCGAATCATCTTTGATAAAAGCATTCGTCATCATAGTTGTTGCACTCAATGTAGTGAACAAGGACTCTGATTGTTTAAGTCTATCGATTAAATATAGTAGCTGGAAACTGTGAAGTACTCTATTCATAGAACCAGATGAGCATACAATAATTAGGATATATTTTGATGCGAATAGTAGTAAAACCATCACTATATAAGTATACGGTTGAACATTGTCATAATGATTTTCGATGTTTTGAACGCTAGTTGATGATCGTTATGTTCTCATTCTATTGGTCAGTAGTTTTAGGAAATTATTGATATAGGATTGACAATTAGAAGCCTTCTCTCTTTTTATATCTGTTCATTTTTTTTAAGTATGTAATCAGTGGTTTAAAGATAAGACACAAAATATTGTTTTGAGACTAACTTATTGCATCAAACTGTAGTTACGCACGATTGTTTACTTTTAATTCTTGTAGTTTGAAGAATTCGAATCGATTTTTCTTAAACTGATCGATCCACATAGTTCCTTACTGTTCTATAAAGTGTTATAACAAAGATTATTTGAAAAGTACTTTCCAGAAATATCTTCAAAGATATTAACTGTGCGTGAATAAGCATGGTTAATAGCTTAGAAACTTGCTAGCGTCAAATCTCATTACTTTTTGCATGGTCTAAGTAATTCTATACCATCGAGTATATTTTATATGATTACCTTCATTTTTTTCTTCAATCATGATCAATTATTCAAGATTTAAAATTTTGGGTTCGAATTATCAATAGCATTAAACTGACAAAGACCATATGAATTGATTATATAAGATGTGAAGGAAACCTATCTTATAAAGCATAGACGAAGAGATGAAATATGTAAAAAACAAAATACAGAACGGGTCTTAAATAGCAATAAGATCATAAATTTGAATATGTCTACTCAATGTAAATTAAATGAACCGATTTTTTCTATTAGTGGTAAATAAATGTTTAAAAGTTCTACATGTAAAGATAACATCAAAAAATATTGCTTGGAACTATACCCATTGATTTCAGAAAAGGTTCGTATATATTTTTTTTCTCAGATTTTCGGTATACACTATGTAGACCCTATGAAAACTTGAAATTCTAAGATATTCGATTTAAGTTAAAGCTAATTATAGTAGACATCATATTTCATATTTTGGACAAAATTAAGCTACTAATAGATGGAAAATATTGAATTCATGAGAATTTACTTGCCGAAAATAAATTTTAGAATACATTGTACATGTTTTAAGAGCTCATAAATGGACACACCATTTTTTTGAAACTAATGGTATTAATTCCAACTAGTTTTTTTCGTATTGTTTTTATGAATAAAAACTTTAAATACTAATAGTAGTTCTAACTGTGGATAGAAGGTCGGTCTCACGTAGAGCTCTTGCACTCAATTGTTTGAGCTTTCTATATACACACTAACTACAATAGCAGGTAAACGTCACAACGTACTCAGCATACTATCGGGCAAACTTGGTGGATCTGTCTTGAACAACGTAGCTACACTCACCTACAACCTCCAAGTATAACTCAATACTCTTGAGTAAAAGTTTTATATATTTCCGTTTCTCTATGATGACATTTTTGTTTGTCAATGTTTATCTTTTATTATGACAAAGAAAAAAATATATATTTCGCGATTAAAAATAAAAATCGAAGAATTTCTATGTAAAAGTTCTAAACTAAGATTAAATGATCATATAGTTTCTTTTATTAATTATTTTAACTGAACAGATTTCATCTGTATGTTATCAGATATTCACCATATGCACCAGCATCATGATAAATCACAAAAATATGTCCACCATCAGTAGTTGTGTCAAACCCTTCAGGTGGTACTTTCATCGATGAATGACCAATACATGTTTTACCAATTAGAACACGAGCTAAGAACATAGTTCGTTCGTTTGAAGTATCTAGTTTAGCATAACAATTGCTATATTTTGCATGCTCATGAAAATACACTCCTTGACCATATGCAACTCCTACAAAGAATATTCTTATTAAATTTTTCAATATTCAAAAACAAGTTAATTTTACCATTAAGACCAGCAAATGCTCGATTAAAACATTCTTGTACAATTTTATTAGCTGATGTACTACTACAACCATGGAAAAGTAGTCGTTCATCAGGTTTTGTATGGCGTTGTGTAAATTCATCACGATGAGCAGCATACTAAGAAGTTAGTTAAATGAACAGATTTTACTTTAGTTAAATAATAAATTCAAAAATACCTGTTTGTACCAACGTTCATTTTGAATCCGTTCAATTTTCATCATTTTTGAATAGTTACCTTTCATTGTAGAATCAAATTGATTCAAAATATCTTTATATTCTTTAGAAGAATCTATAAGAATTATTCGTTTAAAATTACCACTCGACAAATCCCAATACTAAAAATAAAAATATATTTATGAAATTCTACAAGAGATTTAAACAAAAGATTTTCTTACATTAGGTAATGATGAACCTATACATTTACGACATACTTTTCGTTTTCGTTTTTGATATTCTTCTTGCATAGATGAGAAAATTATTCGACATCGTTCGGATTTTTCATTTACGAATTCAATCTTAAGCATACTAAATCGATACAAATAAATCAAAACAAAAGAATTACAGACATGTGAAAGCTTTCTCAATTGAGCATCTTCAATCTTTTCATTGATTGTATATGAATATTGTTCCCATTTACCGGATAATATTTCAACTGACCATACAAATCCACGTGATAAAACTTGAATGCGTGCATTTCGTAATATTTCAGCAGTTAATTGATAAAAATACGATTCGACCTCAATTACCTAAATTAACAAAAAAGATATAAGATATACATAATTATTAAATGTAGTATAAACAAGAATCAGCTTTTTCATCTCAACGAATAATTTGATTAATGTGTGTAAGGACAACGAGAATCGATAGGCGATAGAAAAAAAAATTTTCATCAACAAAACTTCACCTAGCTGAACTAATTGTTTAGAATTGATGACAAAGTCTGAAACATTCACATTTTAAATGTTTCATTAAAGCAATAGATTCCATGTTCATGATATTCCCTGGTCTTTTACTTATTATTTTTATAAAAATGGTCTAACGAAAAAGTTACCCTCATTTGAAGAAATTAGAGACAATTAACTTTTCATCGGAAACTGAACCAAATCTTCTGTGAAAAGATTTCACATAAACATTGTTAGAAAGCTCGTTACAAAGTGACGTACTGCATCTTTATATCCTATTAAATCCAAAGTTGAATCTTGAATGTCAAGTGTCGGTATAACTCGTTTTTGTAAACAATAATCATAGTATTTCTGAATGTGATCTTGCGACCAATCAACTATGTCAGTTTTATCCGTTAGATGAAGTTTGAATGCAGATGATTGTGCCAACTGTTTTATTTTATTTCGATATTCAATCAATTGTTTTTCGTTTGAACCAGTTAATTTAATTCTCACTACTAAAAACCAAAACAAGAAAATAAATTTTCGTTGATTTCTTTTTATTTCTATACTTTGTTTATCAAAAGAAACAGTGTTTGGTTTATCTTCGATGATTCTTATTGTATCGAGTCGATCAGCAAATGCATCGTACACAGTTTGTTGCCCAGGTAATAGAACAAATGAAATGATTAATGGAGAATGAGTTGAAACTTTCAACTGTTGATAAGCCTCGTCAATCATATATTCGGCAATTAATTTTGGATCGAAACCTAATTGTCCACAGCCAATGCTTGGAAAAGCTAAAAATTGATTTTCGAATTTTTATTTCAAACAAAGCATAGACTAACCGATTGTTGTTAAATTATGATGAAGTGCATATGTAAACACTGATTGAACAAATGTAGCAATTGATGGCTTTAAGTTTTGCATTTGATTTTTATCACAAATCCATGGACGAAAAACAATCTGTTGGCAAGGCAAATTACCACCTATTGTTTCAAATGCCAGTGTACCATAGGATGATTGTTGGTTAAAGATACTTTTTACTTGTTGTCCAGCCGCCAAGATAATGGCATCACTTAGAACTGTCGATGTTGAACACACAACGATTATATCGACCTATAGTAAATGTATTGAAAGAAAGAATAGTAATTATTCGAATCAATACTGAAATAGAAATTTAGTTGCCGTCAAACAGTAGAATTAAATTTAACTTTATAAAAAAGTCTTTAGTGTGAGATGTTTTATCTTTTATTTTTCTAATTATTTCAACGATTAAGACAATATTCATGACAATCTGCAGAATGATCTCAATATACTAGACACTCGTTAAAATTTGAATTTTTGTGTTTTAGTACGAATTGGAAAGTGTGTCATCCAAAATTACCTAACCCAAATTGTTGACAGATTCTGATCTTCCGTAGAAAATTGAATCTACAAATGACTTCTTAACACTGCTCGCTTACTGCAAAGAATATAGTCAACATCTTCCTTAATATATCAACTGAGGTTATACTTTCACAAGTGAGTGGGTTTTCACATCTCATATAGCAGAAAATAGAATATCGAAAACTAAAAAAAATCTGATATTAAAAATATTGTATATTATCTATATATTGAGTAGTGTCCTGCACGGGTACGACTTTTTGCACCCGGATCCGACCCGACAGTTTTTTTGTATCCGGGCCCAACCCGAACCCGGCTGTCTCGTACCCGGGCCCGACCCGGACCCGAAGAGCTGTACCCGGACCCGACCCGGACCCGGAGAGCTGTACCCGACACCCGACCCGGCCTTGAGACAGTTAGCATTTAACTATTATTGTCAAAGTGACATACTTTTCAAACTTTTATTTCATATTACAAAGTATACTATTGCAAATATAAAAGAAAAACATATAAATATTGTAAATTATTCAGTCTTGAACTCTCACGATTTTGAACGTATAATTTAATACAATAATATTGTGTAACTGTTACAAATAAATTCTTGTACCTTAAGTATAAAAAAATGAATTTGGTACATCATTCATTCTTGAATTCTTACCAACTAAAGAGTACAAAATTATTCACTGAAATCGTGTACCAGTTACAAATGAATTCTTTCAATGTTCAGTTCAACATGAAAAGCAGAAAATGTTATTGTTGTTAGCGTAAATTATTCTGATTGTTAGTTTATACGATAATGCATTGATGAACCATGGTTGAATCGATCTGATACGCGTATCTTTTTTAACAAATAACGATCGTGGAAAGCAAAAGATTTTTTCATATTCAGATCTCAGTCACTGCCGGGTCGGGTACCGGGTGTGCTCTAATTTTGTACCCGACCCAGTATTTCTTTTTATACCCGGTACCCGACCCGGCTGCAGGACACTAATATTGAGGCAACATGGACGAAAAATTCTCAAATGACCGGTCAAAAAGGTTCAACTTTTGACAGCATATTTGGTGCCTTTTTTTGAAACGAATAGTTGGCACAGTGAGTATTTTTTCCATTCTATGTAATTTTGATTCAAAATAGAGTTACAAAAAAAGCAGGTTCTCCTTCATGTCAATTGTAGCTTATACTGGTAGTTGCTAGGTGAAAAGCCTTGAGGAAAATGACTTCGGACACTTTTTAGTGCTTTGCATCTATGAAGGTTACCATCTGTGGCAATTTTGAACTCAATCCAGGTTGGAATAGTAAAGATCGTTACCTTCAGAATCCAAAAAGAAAATTCGTGAAATCGAATAATGATCATGCAGATAGATAGAACTTATGATCATGATTACAGGCATTTGATACAAGTAAATTATTTATATGTGATCCAACGTTATGTGGAAGATTTTACTGCTGGAGCATTTTAAGGTTCATGTCAAATATATTGCCTGGAGCAATCAACGATATATCACTAAATTACGATTAGTAATAGACTTATATCATATACCTGTAATCAGGGCTGTAACTTCCATTTTTCTGTATGAGCATGATTTAATTTCGCGAATTTTTTTCGATTTTTGAAACGATTATCTTTATTATTCCGGCAGGATGCAGCTCTTATTTCTTTCAAATGAAAACTGTTGTGAATAAAGAACACTAATAAATTTCCGAGGCCATTTTTCTCAAGCTTATTTACCTGATAGTCACCAGTGTAAGAGATATTTTTGATATCTTTTTGTTAATCATTTTATAGGGAATCAAAGATTACATGTCAAATGAAAGGAATTTAAACGTGCCAACCTTTAATTTCAAAGATTGCAGCAGATATACTGTCAAATGTCAGACCTTATTGGTTAGTCAATTGAGACATTTTCATCCATTTTCGTTCAGTAAATAGAGAGTACACAACCGGTTAGATATCTCACTTCTTCAGTTTCCGATGCTCTATGTTTTGGCACATGAGATTAAAAAAAAACTCACTCATTTACGAAAGTATAATGTTAGTTAATATATTTGGGAAGATGCTGACTATTTTCTTGACAGTAAGCTCGTAGTGATAAAAAGACAGTTGAGGCTAACTTTCCCAAAGGGCATTCAAATGTGCTAAGAGTTTCGGTCAACTGGCTTGAAAATAATACCATTTCGAATGCGCATCAAAACTCAACAAATCAAATTTTAACGGGTGCCTCGATTTCTTAGTCTTCTCATGGTCATTCCCTTAATAAATTTTCAATACTTGGTGATGAAAACGCCAGCTTGTATGCGGAGCAACATGAATTCGTCACTCTTACTCATGAAACTTAATTTCCAAAACATTATCTTATTTCTGTCATAATACGTAGTTATTGAAAAAAATCAGTATTTCCAACAAAGTTTCATTGTATGAATCATGTTCATTTTCCTAGGAGATTATCAATCTGTTTAAGTTTCTAATAACAGTCAAACAGAACTGACCGTTTGTTTTGTTAAATCTCCAGTGCAAACAATAATCCTTGAGTTGCCAATAGAGACACTTGATGTTAATTGTACTGGTGATGTGGAATTTTGCTGTTGTTCAGTTACAGTAGGTTTGCTCCACTGAAATAATCTTTGTAACCAATTGAGTTGTGAATCTATAGAAGCTTCATTAGAACTATTTATGGTTTTAGAATTATCTTCCTGTGATTGGCTTTCCGATGCATTATAATCAAAATGATTTACTCTTGCTTTGGGTATTTGAATTTGAATTTGATGATGAATAATTTGTTTCTCTAATTGACACTTTGATTGAATGATAGTTAATAATCCGTTGAAATCATTATTGAGAAGAACTTCGAAACCAGGTTCATCGACATCGAATCTTATTGAGTATGTTTGAACTTTTTTTAATATGTGTGTTTGATTAAGTTGCTGATGTGTGATAGATTCACTCGATTGTAGAGAATTCTCAAATTTTAAACCTTCCACTTTTGAAATGGGTAATGTTTCTGGTTTACTCGGCTGATCTTTGACAACAGATGGAACATATTTCGTTTTCTTGTCTTCAAATAGTTTTTGAACATGTTTCACTACTTCAGGCAAACCGTAAAGACTAATAGTTTGTTGTTCATCAAAAAGACAAATATCTTTGCCATAATCATCGCGTTGAAATATATTTGTTTTAAGTGCCGTCCATACATTTTCAAATGTTGTCGACGTACATTTAGTCAGAATCAGTTGTTTTCGACATAATCTTTCAATGATTTTCTCATCGATACCAAACTCAGTATGTGCTTTGTCGATATAGTGTACCAGTATCGATAGTGGAGATGTCTGTTGTTGACAAAGACATTTGATTTCCATTAGATCAAAGTGATGTTGAATAACACGAACTGCATCGCTCATCTTGATCCAATCGTTATCTAAAATGATAAAGTAATTTTACAGAATAGAGCAAACAATATCGAACCAATCGTTTCGTTGAATGTTTTTGTACGACACAATGAAAATAATTTTAGCAACTCTTTGATGACTGCATCAACAGCGCTCTGTCGTCCAATTACTTTGACCAAAGATCGACAGTTAACATCAGCGGTGTGTTCGAAATTAAGTTTACAAGAATATTTTTTATTGAAATAGGTTTCAAGACTAGATTCAAATGCTTTATTAGTAAATAAAGCTGCTTGTCCTGGAATATTGAATGATGATAATGTCACGTTCTTGATAATAATCTCATTCGTTACGGGACGCCTAGATGAAACAACGATAGACATCACATAGAACAATAAATATATGTACTTGTCATTTGTAGTTGTTGAATTTAACAGTGGTGGAGGAATCATAAATGTTGGTAATTGTCTATGAAAGAAGTAAATAATAGATATAACTAATGCAAAACTTACTTTTGATCAACATTTTTAGTTGTGTCATGATCAGTAGATGCTGCTGAAGATCGACTATTCATTGGATTTTTATCAATTGGTTTCTTTGGCAATAGTTTCTGAATAATAGCCTCTATATTTGATTTTTTCGTAGCCAACATGTAATTCCTGTCTTTGATATGACAAAATGCAACAGTGGTCGAATGTGCATGAAGAATCTTAAGTTGTTCAATTGATTGTTGCAAGGCAATTGAACGAAAAGCGAATTTATGCATAAAGTTGTGCGTTCTATTGGTCAGAAGAGTAGAAGTATTTTCTTTAACCAACGTACTCGAAATGGAATTACGATGTGCTTCAATTCTATTACCATGAATTTCTATCTCAAGGCCAAGTTCAGATCCTAGAATCAGAAACGAACAATGCAGCGGAAATCACGATAAGAGAAAAGTTATTCTATTGCATGGCCTGTTGAAATTTGGGCGTGCCCTCTACTAAGAAGATTTTATGTTGATTATTCAAACGCTCAAAGAGTACAGATCAGTACATTAATGAAATGTGAATATTTCAAAAAATCGCAAATAAAAAGTGTACTGGAATGAAATCAGCTTTCATTTCTAACATGCTGTACAAGTTTCGTTTTCGATTTACAAGCATAAGTCTCGGATTGTAAACGAACGCAGGATCCAACAATATCGGCAATATTTTTCTTACCGAATTAATATGTGATACAATGCCTGCGATATTTATTTTAATCTTATACAGGGTGGTTCAAAACCTTTACGCCCCCCTGGTTCGATCTCAAGGTCAAATGATTTCATTAAGTATTTTATACCAAATTAAAGTCCGTAAAAAACTGCATTTATTGATACTAAATGGTAAAGGTTATGAAGACCTATTAATGTCAAACTTCCGAGATTTTCAGAAATTTGACACCTTTTTTGATGTAGAAAAGTAAGGTGCCCGTAATTCCAAAACGAAATAAAACGTTTTTCTTAGACATTTTTACATGATTCGATAGATCTCGATGAGCTCTACAAAACTAGATATTTCAAAAATATTTTTAGCTATCTTTTTCAGGTAAAAAGTTCAACAACTGCTTGGAAAATCACAAAAAATATTTGGAAACTTTACTTTTTTCATATGGAAGAAAAATACTCGATTTTTCAATAAAATTAAGTTTTATTCATTATTTTTGCTGTCTCAAACGTTTCGAAATCTGCTCATTCGATGCAGTTTTTCACGCGACATCGAATGAACATATTTCAAAATGTCTGAGCTAACATAACTAATGAAAAAAAACTAATGTTATTGATAAAATTGGATGTTTTTTTCATATGAAAAAACGATGAATTTTTTACATTTTTTGGGATTTTTCGTGTATTTTTTTGAATTTTTATCACAAAAAGATGGTTCAAAGTATTTTTGAAATATCTAGTTTTGTAGAGCTCATCAAGATCTATCGAATCATGTAAAAATGTCTAAGAAAAACGTTTTATTTCGTTTTGGAATTATTGGCACCTTACTTTTCTACATCAAAAAAGGTGTCAAATTTCTGAAAATCTCGGAAGTTTGACATTAATAGGTCTTCATAACCTTTACCATTTAGTATCAATAAATGCAGTTTTTTACGGGCTTTAATTTGGTATAAAATACTTAATGAAATCATTTGACCTTGCGATCGAACCAGGGGGGCGTAAAGGTTTTGAACCACCCTGTATAATGTTTCGCCGTTGATAACAATAGTCTCACTGATGGGCATTCTGAAAACTGTTTTTTAAATAAATTCCTGTGATCAGTGGAACTAGTCTTGGTGCCGGTTATTTTTTCATATGAATACCATCATAGAGCAGGAAAGTGAAAAATATAGACCGATATAAGGCGATTTCAACCAGTCAGACCAGTTTAGACCGGTGGGACTGGTCAGACCTGTGAGACCGGTTTAGACCGATCAGACCGGAAGACCGGTTCCATCTCTGCCACATAGCAAGCAGCCATAATAGAATCAAACTTAACAAGCATTTTAATTTGGTTTGTTATGGGTGAGCGGAATAATCATCTTGACCAGTCATTGGTATGAAAAAAACACGAAATACAAAGTGTCCATCAAAATTCAAATATTGCTCTTCAAGAAACGATCATTGATACAATGATGAGTACATAAGCCACAATAAGCGTCGAGAATATGTACGAGATGGAACAACCTTATCTCTAATTTTTGACAAGTAGTATTCATTCATCGTCCTTTTCATACTCATAAAGGATTATGATGATTATTCTACTGACACCTATAAACCAACTAAAATGCTTTCTAGTTTTGATTCTATGCTGCTACCTAAAGCAACTGTATATAATCTATGTGAATACCAAATTCATATTCGTTTTGCTTCAGAATTTGATATTAGACTCGAATTTTTTCGACTACGGTCAGGGTCTACACGAGCAGGAACTTCATCATTTTTTCAATTTCTGAACATACTGAAGCATGTTCACATGCAATTCAAAGCCCGAATTGATAATCATAGTGATCATTCTTCGCAAGTCTTGTTAGCTATATATGTATAGAACGAAAGGACAAGCAATGTCACTGATGTTATGTGACAGAACGAAGAAAAAGACGACCTTCATGGGACTCGAACTCACACCTTCTGCTATCCGGGCAGATGTCCTAAGCCAATTAGACCAGAAGGTGCATCTTAATCTTCGTTTAGCGTCATAGTGACTCATCTCTGACGATAACAAGTCTTATTTCGATTTTTACTGAAAAATCAATTTAAATCCGGAAAAGCTCTTTCCTTTATTCAATATATGGTAGACTCTAATCAGGACAGCCTTTTTAACAGAGAACGTATTTTTTTTTAAATGATTTATCTGCGCTATTTCAACTGATATCTGTTTTATATGATATACTTTTTCTTCCTTTTATCTTTCGATGTTTGAATTTTTCATTCAGAAAAACAAAATGATATGCTTCGTTCGGGAATCGAACCCAAGACATGATAGCTGGTTAACCG